CTAAGATCACTATATTGGAAGTTGAGTCCATTGCGTGGCTCTTTGGTTTTGTCATGCTGCTATGTCAGTAGGCAAAGAAAATGGTTACTGTACTGACTCATTTTAATTACAACAGTAATTTTTCTTTTTTTGGTTTTGTGAGACAGGGTCTCCCTAATTAGTTCATGCTGGCCTTGGACTGACTTAAGGTGACCCTCAGCCTCCCAAGTTTTGGAATTTCAGGACTGCACCGTCATGCCCGGCAGAAGACTGTATTGGCTGCTGCACACTGTGGTAGTGTTGCAAGGCCCCTCCCAAAGGGATTGGTGAGGTGAGGGCCTTCTCAGAGCAAAGAAAGGCAACATGGCACGTAACTGTTCATAGATGTGTGTGTGTGTTCTAGTACAGCTCTGTGATGTAGACTGTACCCAATCAGGCTGAGGTATATTAGTGCATTACTATTTAAAAGAGAGAAAGACAACTGTGTGAACAGTAAAACTCCTCCATGATCAGGGCCCAGCCTTCTGGGTATTGGCCTACTGAGCCCTTGGCAGTACTAATAAAGTTGCTTCCTAGAACACTCAGTATCTGTCTGTGCTAGACTCCTGACATGCTAGAAAGGACTACATCCAGATCACAGTGTATAACAAAATTACAGTTAGGGGTTACAGATGAGGTGACTGAACACTCATATCTTTCAGGAATGAAAGTATGAGCCACCCCACTGGGTACTTAATTCACACTAGCCACTGGTGCTCAGAGCAATATGTAATATATAGTGAAATAAAGATATTTAAAGTGTCATGAATTCTTCACAGAAATGAGGACTGTGGAAACTGAATATTTGGATTATATGTATATTAAGTAGTTATTTTTTTTCTCACTTCTTTCCTCTATTCCTGTGTTTGAGGAGTTTCAGTGGAGGTTTACTTTTATCCTTTAGAAGGCTTTGGTTTCAGAGAGTCCTAATGGTGATCTAAGGGGGAATAGACGTATCTCCCAAACCTACTAGATATCTGAAACTCAAGCTCATGTTCTCTAAAATTGAAGAATGAATTCTAGGAACAGTAGAGATCAAAAGTAGGAAGATTTATTGAGAGGATAGCTTTTGTTTAAGAGAGACAGAAGAGGGGCTGGAAAGTGGGTTGCCCACCCACCTCTCTTTTCAAAGGTGTGTTATAGCAAAGCCATGAGGTGAGCCGGGTACAAAGTTGGACAAAACTCAAAGACCCAGTGGAAATTTACAAGGTGGACATGAGATGGCACAAAACCATGACCAACCAATAAGATTACAAGTGCAGTCACCCAGGTAATATTGATTAAATGGGGATAAAATGGCAAAACAAGTAACATACAAGGAATTTCCCACTTAGAATATCAATCACTACTATCTCTAGGAGAAGTAGTCCTCTTTTCTTTTTATAATGCTGACCAGTGAATGTGCCTCAATTATTCTCCATATTGGCTCCTTGCTGTATTGGTTCCTGGAGGGCTGGCACCTTGAGGACGGGGACCGTGAGGGCGGCCTTGTCTAACTGCGTATAATATATCTAAGTAACTTACCTATCTACAATAGGAGGATTATGGTTGGAGTACAGGAGGAATTAATATCACCAATGATTGTCAGAATGGCTGGAGGGACCTTGAGTTTCCCTTCTTTAGGGAGAGAGTCTTCAATGAGAATTTCTAACATGCCTCTATTTTCTTTATTCTTTCATGATATCCTCTTTTTTTCTTATGTTTTATGCTTTCCTTTGTGTAAGTGTGACATGGATTTTCTTCAGCTGTGTGGCGATTATTGTTTTTATATTTATCATTGGTAATAAAGCCTTACTGGTTTATTAAGAGAATAGTCAGTATGACTTTCCTTTACTATGGAACAGTTTAATTTTTTGCAGTAGGCATCTTCTTTGAATGGAAGGGAAAACAGTAACCTCTGTTTATAAGAGGGAGTATTTTGACTACCTGGTTTACTTTAGGGTAAATATGCAGGAAGCAGTAGGCAGGCCAACATCTTCAGAGCTTTTTCTTTAGGCTCCAATCCATAAAACATTATGCATGTTATTTACCCTCTAGAATAATTCTACACTTTAAGACTTGGGTTTATGCTCTCAGTCTCTTGCTTATAAAGGAACTGAGTTTGTAGAGTAGCCATGAAGCTTTTATATAAACTACTTGCAGTTACACCAGATCTTCCCTCACTGTTCTTCCAGCTCTTGTGTATAACTTTCAGACAAGAAAATGAGTGGCTCCTACTCCTGCTGCAAAAGTTTTTAGTAAACGTGCATATTAGGGCTTCCTCTCCTCTTAGTCATTATTGTGTCTTATCTACTTCACATTTTTCAAAAATATTAACTTTCCTGGCGTATATCCCTACTTCTGTACTAATGATATTTTAGATTCATTTTCTTTGTTTCTTGTCTTATTAATTTTAAATAAAAGAGAAATAAATTAATGTACTTAGTATAGCTTCTTTGTACATTTGTTGACAAAATGTATTGGATAATGTTACCATAAGAGATAAAAGCATCAGAAATTCTCTTCTGTAAATTATTTTCTTTATCATGCAGAGCATATGAATTCATTTAGTTGATATTTGGCCCCAGATTTCCAGCTTCAAGGTCTGGCACACATTTAGAATTCTGATATAAGAGGTGCATCAGTACTATTTACTCCTGCATGATTCTTTTTCAGTTGCTACATTTATTAGAAAGATAGGTACAAGAGAAAGGAACTACAGCTACCTAAAAGTGGTTCTTGTGCATTTTGTCTAAGCTAAAGTAAAATGTTTTAGAATGTGCTATTGCAGAGTCTCATAAAGGCAAGGTCAAAATCAATAGGAAGTTCAAAACTCATGTAACAGAAAATACTAGTTGAATGTTATTATTCTGAGTTTGATATGAGAGATTTCATGATGAGTGCTTCTTAAATGTCCATACAGTTGCTTGTGTAAACAGCCAATGCTGCTGAACAAGGCACCCACCCTAAACTCTTCCCTATCTTGGTCAATAGATGAAGTTGCCTCCCTAAACCTCACAGTTCTCCTGATCAGTTTGGGGCTCTGGGTGGATTTACCAGGCCTTTCTGTTATTTATTCAGCTGTGGCATTTCGTGTAATATATTCTGTATGGGACACGTATTCCTAAAGTGTGGTGGAAAATTTCTCAATAGAAATGCATATATGGGTCATGGAATGGAGGAGATAAAATGAAAGTGTGCCCATCGTTCACCCTGGATGTTTCTCAGGTTATGTTTGCTCAGTGTCTGCTTGCCTAACCTAGTTACATGAACATAACCAGTAAATGGGAATATGAGAAAAAATTTTTAAATCTTTGTGTCTATGTGTTCTGATAATAATAGGAAAGTTGCACTACTAAAATGGAAAAAGAGGGAATGGGTATTGAGGAACTATTGCCAGTTTTTGCCCTATCTTTCCTCTTGTATTCAAGATATACTTTGTAATAGTTATGCCTCACTGTAGTAAGTACATTAATTTAGAGGAGGCAGAGAGTATAAGGGATCAGAGCATCACAGTCTTAGTGACGCTGAGAAACAAGATTTCACAGTCAGATACAGTTCCATCTTTATATGCAGATGTAGTATTCATTCTTAATATCTATTAAGACTGAAGCCATGAGAAACAGTTCTGCTCTCATTTGTCATCGTTCATTTGTAGAAAATTTAAATTCGTTCCACCTGCAAGGTCTTTGAAAAATGTGGGATTCATATTTCTTCTTTTGATAAAAATATTCAGGGGGCTGTGAAACAAACTAATGAGATTTCTGAGTTGGCATTAGAAAAATAATTTGGAAAAAGTTACAAAGGAATTTATTTCCAACATTATTCTTAAAATAATCTCTGTGGCTTTCAGTAGAACAGGTATAATTTGTGTTGGTGTTCCTGAATACGAATGCTAAATTCCATCAGGAAGATAAATCCTGGGATATGGCTACTTAGAGTATTGTTTTTTAAAAATTTAATTCAATAAACACTCATTTAGGACTCTCAATAAATGAAGCACTCTTCTTGTACTAGAAATATACTGATAGACAACAAGAAGTGATTCTTATTCTTATGGAGTTATATCCTAGTGAAAGGAGTAGACCAAAATGATACTAATAAATGAGTTATCAATCACGAAAGTATTTCATAGTGGTGAGTGTTGTGATAACAAAACCCACACGAATCAAAACAAAAAACAAGTAAAAGCTAAAAGCAAAAACAAACAGGGTCATAGGACAAAGTCCTCATGAAGGTGAAGCTGCTTTATATACAGACTTCAGAGATGTTTCTCTCTGAAAATGAAATTCTAGTAGAAAATTGAACACTGAGAAGGAGGCAGTCAAGTGTTGATTTGGGAAAGAGCACTTCAGGCAGATAAATACAGCCAGTTTTTTTTTTTTTTTTGATACTGTGAATTTGGTGTGCTTAAGGACAAAGGGCAGCATGGCTGAAGTGTAGTGGGTGAGTGAATCAGACTGAGGAAACATCATGATCAGAGAATGATTTTATTGATTTTCGGTTTGATGGTATACCAGTAGAGATGGGTAATACTGAGACCTGTTTGTTGTTGTTTCTAAAGACCACTGAGATTTCCATCTTGGAGAGTTATGAGGAGTAGAGAGTGCAACTGGAGAGCCAGCTGGAAAGCAGCATGGTAGAACAGTGGCCATAGGGAAGGAGAGAAGAAGCTGTACTCGGGTTAGTGCAGGGAAGCGTTGTCAGTAAGACTTGGAGAGGCTGCTGGGGGCAGGTATGAGGGGCAAGAGAGACATCGAAGGCGAGCTCTCAGACTGAACAGGAATTTGTGCTGACTGGTCAGCCTATAAACCGAAATAAAGGTATCTGTAATAATAACTATGAATATGAATACCTTCACTTTACGTTCTCTTCAACAACCTCAAATAAAACTTCTGAGTTGAGTAATGGAGAAGAAGGTAAGGAAACATAATATATGACAGCATAGAGGAAGGTGAAGATAAATATGTGTTTTAACTGAAATATATTTCTAACTTTGACAGGTTCAAAAAATGCTCCATTTGCTTGCTATGAAGAAGTAAATTCTCAAGTAGACAGTTTTGGGAACTGTGGGAGGGATCGATCCAACCGATATGTGCTCTGTGGCTGGAGGTATATTGTACGCACATCAACGACATTCTAAGCCTCATTTTGACGTTTTGTTCCTCTTTAGTACGTTCATTCAGTGGTTGCAGGTATCACTTGTGTATGGAAGTGAATCTCAAACCAAAATTTTGAGTCTTATTATTTTTCTTGTACTATAAAATTTTATCTATTTTAAAAATATTTTTGTGTACAGATGATCATTAAGCTCCCAGATCTAATCTAAAAATCAAACTTTTAATACCCACTGTACTTTTTCTCTCCAGCCATATTGATTTCTGCTTACTGAAACAGTATTCCCATCCACGTGGTTGCTTGCCCAAAAAGAAACTGCCAAATGTCTATAAAATGAGCTCAATTTCTCTTCCTTTAAAGAGCTAACCCTTACACATTTTTACTGGTTTCTCTTAGAAATCTACTATGTACCAGATAGTGAGTTCAACAGTAGTTAGCAAAGCATATTCCTATACTTCTGGAATTTGTAAACTGGTAAATATACAATAAAATTTTAGGCCTCCTCAATCTGTTAAGAAATAGCTCACTCTTCCTCCTGAAAATTTACTGATTTGTGAGTTTTGACTCAGACAGTATATTCTCTACGAAGTTGTCTATAACTGTTAGGTTAGAGTGCATGTTTGTCTTAAATGTCAGTAAGGATTTATTTCATTTTTAGCACTTTTAATGGAATTTATATCATATTTAATGCCAGACTATGAGGTCCTTGATGGTAGAGGTAACAATCTTACTCATTATTTTGTTCTATGGGGGATATAAAATATTGTAGTGAAATTATTTGCCAGGAAATATAGAATCTACACAGTGAATAAACGGCCACTAGTACCACTGAAAGATAAATTTAGATCAGCGGATTTTTAAAAATGTCAACATCAGCGCCTCACAGTTTTCCTAAGTACGTTGGCATAAATGGAAGGACATTTATTTTTGTCAAAGTAAGCAAATAGAGGCATTACTCATAAATACCTAATGTATAATAACCATATAATTTATTATGCTTGCAGGAACCTCATATGTGGAAGATTAATTTGTACTTATCCATTTCGAACTCCTTATATTCAGCAAAGCATTTCTGTAACTTACATTTATGTACGAGATAATGTATGTATCAGTATAGTCAACACTTCAAGTCCTAGAGGCCAGGATCCATTTGTGGTGAGAAGTGGTGCTGAATGTGATCTTGGCAGGGTAAATAGTTTAAAATACTTTTTAAAAATATAGTCTTATTCATTACTTTAATCAATATTTTTGTATCAAATTTTAATTTGCTTATAATTTTTATGTAACCCTAAGTATTTGAGAAAAATTGGTAATTCTGATCTCTGGGTAGTAAGAAGAAATGGAATTGTTTTATTTGCTTTACAATTTCAGTGTTGTGGAAAAAAATATCCAAAGTATATTCGACTGGAGTGGGGAAGAGAGAACTCTTGGGAATATACTGTAGTTAAACATTTTATAGCATGTAAATACACTTTTCTTCAAAGAAGAAAGAAGAACCAAAACTGCTATATACATTCAATGCAATGCCAAATGAAATTCCAAAACTATATTTCACAGAACTAGAAAAAAAAATCCAAAAATTTATTTGGAACCATAGGAGACCTAGAATAGCAAAAGCCATTTGACGCAACAGACACATGGCACCAGGTGTAACAATTCCCAATTTGAAATTATACTACAAAGCCACTGTGATAAAAACAGCATGGTACTGCAAAGAAACAGACCTGAGGATCAGTGGAACAGACTGGAAGACACAAAAACAAATGCAGATGTACTCAGCTACCTCATCTTTGACAAAGGAGCTGACCATCCTCAGTGGAGGAAAGATAGCCTCTTTAATAAATGGTGTTGGAAAAACTGGATGTCAACCTGCCACAGATTAAAATTAGACCCTTATCTTTCGCCATGCACTAAATTAAAATCCAAATGGATTAAAGATCTAAATATTAAAACAGAAACATTAAACTTGCTGGAAGGTAAGTTAGGCAGAACTCTGGAAGACATTGGTATAGGAAAAGACTTTATGAACAAATCCTCAGTAGCACGGGAACTAGCAGATAGAATCAACAACTGGGATCTCATCTTA